TGGGGGTCCTCGGAGAGAGACTGAGGGAGGGCGAGCTGCCCCCACCCTGCCAGGAGGAGGTGGTCCATGGAGGTGGCGGCTTAGGCCAAGGATCTGAGACTGTCCGGCCGGCTCCGCCTTTGCAGTCAGTAGTGTGACTGTGGCCTGGGGCCCCAACCTCAGCTCCCTCACCTGCAGACTAATAACCCAATTTCACAGACTATCCAGAGGATGAAACGAGACAGTGAAACCCAGAAAAGGGGTGGAGCAGCCGGGGGCACAGTGCTCCCCAGGGGTGTCTGCCCATGCACGTGTCCCTCAAGGCCTCCCATCCAGGGAAAGTATTCAAACAGATACAGTCCTCGCGTTCAAAGTGTAAGTCCAAGAAAATGTGATTTCACATTCTTCACCTTAAAGCGATATGGAAGGCAGAGCCCCATGAGCAGTTCCTTGCCTGTCAGGGCCTCAGTTTCCCCAGCTGGGTGGTGGGCATCTGTCTGGGTGGCTTCTCTGGGCCCGGCTATTCTGAAAGGGCTAGGCCACGGAAGGAGGGAAATGGGTGTGTGTGTGGAAATCCAGAGCCGTGGGATCCAGAGGGGGAGGGCCCAAGCCCTGAGCCTATGCTCGGAGGCCTCGGCCCAATGCCCTGTCCTCTGCCCAGACAAGGCCCTACTCACTCACTTCCTCCACTCTGAGGACCTCGGCTGCCTGGAAGCCCTCACCCCAGCCCCAGATGCCAGTCTGACTGGCCCAGGCTCGTCGACTGGCTCCCCAGGTCCCGCCAGTGTCCAGGCTGTGTTCACCAGGTGGGTGTGGAGGAGTCAAGGAGAGAAGCCCCCAGTCCCCAGAGCAAGTTCACTCTCAGTCCAGCGTGCAAGCCCGGAGGCAGGCAAGGCCCGGGAACACACCCAGCCTGGCTACTTCCAGCTGAGTGTCCCCATTTCCTCTTCCCTGAAATGGATACACATGACTTCCCGGTAAGGTATCATTATGAGCCCAGCATCCGGCACACAATCAACCCTCTCACAGGTGAGTTCCTTTGCTCACCATGAGCTGAGGGGGTCTCGGGGTCACGGCCAGCTCTTGGTAGGAGAATCACTTACCCTAAGCCCCCAATGTCCTCAAGAATGCCACCCCCTCATCTCCTCAGTGACCTGGCCTCAGCCTTCAGCACCTCCACCTCCACCGACTGCCGGAGGAACACTCTAAATGCAGACCCACACCCCCCACCAGTCCCCTGGGCTTCCCCACCTTGGCTCTGATCACTTGGTCCCGTTGTCACCTGTTCGCTTGTCATCTCCCTCACCAGCCCCATGGCCAGAAATCATGTTTGATTCATCTTGGCCATTCCAGAGCCTCATTTGGAGCCTGGCACAGGAGTCCTGCCCACAGGCAGCAGAGCTGGCAGTGCGGATGGTCAACAGGGCCATTCACCCCTCCACCCCAGCACCTGTTTCTCTGTTGGCATATCTATGACATTACTGGCCTTAGTGTGGGACCACAGTTAGGGCTCAGTATAAGGTCAAGGTTCAGTATGTTCAGGAACAGGGCTCAGTGTGAGGCTGGGATCAAGGTTCAGTGTGCAGCTGAGGTCAGGGCTCAGTGCAGGATCAGGTCAAGGCTCATTTTGTCCAGGACGAAGGCTCAATGTGGGGCTAGGGTCAGGCTGGCGTCAGTCTGGGGTCAAGAACATTTTCTGCCCCTCACTGTGAAAGGCTCAGGACTCTCTATCCTTTTACCCACAGCTTTGAAAATAACACATCTTGCCTCTGGGGTGCCAGGGCCTGTCTTCTGGGTCCCTACTATACCCGCTCTCTACCCTGGCTCGGCCCATCCTGTGCTCCACTCCAGACAGCTATGCTGCGATTCCCAGATCCTCTCTGCCCCAGCCACCTCCTGACCCCAGCAGAAGCAGCTCAGGGAGGGAAGTGCTCCCCTACATCCCTGCCTGGCCTTCAGAAGCCTGGCAAGGACAGTCGCCTTCTGGCGTGGATGCATTCCCATGCCAAGAGGAGGAGTGCTTTGTGGGTCATCTCAGATTTCTCGACTACCCACCCACTATCCCGACTCCATTAGTCCCGATGATACAGGGCCGACAGAGGTAAACCCAGATCTGGCTGAACATGTAGGTAAAGGTGTAGCTGGCACATGGCAGTGAGATGTGCTGCCCAAAACACCTCCTCCCACCAGTGTCTGAAATTCCTCCTTTGTGCTCCTTGCTTTTAAGCCACCTTTGCTGACCCTCCTGTGTGAAACCTCCATCTTGGTTCAGTTCTCAAACTCTCTGAGCACATGGACTGTTAGATCCCCAGGCCCTGGGTGAGTCAGGTCTGGCCCAGTTCTGGCACTTGCAAGGCTCAGAAACAGGAGCTGAACCAGAGACTGGCCTGAGTGGCCATCAGAACTGGGCTTGCTTCTGGGGATAGTAGTGCCAGGGCAGGAGATGGCACCTGCCCCGATCCCCCCACCCACCCAGCCAAGCCCCCAACTCTCTCTGCCTGCTACTCTCAAGCAGAGGGTCAAGTTGGTTTGCTGGCAAGACACATGGCTCTCATTTCAATTAATTAAAGAAAAATCTAATCACTGCATTAAACTTCTCATTACTCCACTTGAATACCCGTTAAGTAAATTTAATTACCAGAGGATTGGGTTTTCCAGCCTCTTTCATTAGCTTCTGATAAGACGGGGAGAGAGGAGGGAAGAGGGTGGGAAACAGAACAATGCTATTCCCGACCCATGGAGAACAGGGCGGGCAGTGTACCAGGGCCACCATGGTCAAGCTTTGGTGTCTCCTTGGGGACAGGCTCAGCCCTGAGCCTGGAGAAGACCCCCCGTCTGCGCTGCCTCTAGGAAGGTAAAGGCCTAGCATTTGGCTGCAGTCAGCACTGAATGCTTCATTTACAGACACTCTTGGTTATTTATACCCCACCTCCTTCCACAAGAGTTTGAGGCTGCTGAGAACAATATAAGCAGCACAAACTGAAAACCAAGAGAAGAAACCAGGACAAAGAAAAAATGAGACAGAAGAAGATGAAGCCAGAGACAAGGTTATTGAGCCACTGCATGCCACGGCCTCCTGAGCACTTATCAGAAATGAGCTACGAGCTGTCCATGAGCTTCCTAGCAGCCAAGGCAAAGACAGCAACATTCTTGAGCAATGATGCAGTAACCAATAGAGGATTCATGAGGAAATGCATGCTGGGCCTTGGTCTTTCCACCTTTAAAAAAGGGTGGAGCTGGAAGATGAACTAATGGAGGTAACCACTGGCTGGAGCAGTCAGCAGAGCCTTCCTGGAGAAGAAAGGACCTGAACTGGGCCTTGAAAAACAGGATGGGATGAGATAGAGAGCAAGGAAGGACATCATAGGCAGGGGGAACTGCATGGCCACGGTTGAAGGGAGAGAAGAGGAACTACTAGAGGAGAAGACGCTGAGGGCAGAGGGAGAGTGAGGGGCCTGGGTGCGGAAGAGCCTTCTCCAAAGGACGGGGCTGAGGGTGACCCCATCAGCAGACCCCATCAGCAGACCCCGGCTGGGCAGCCAGCTCCCTGTGGTACATGGTACTGGCACTGCTGGCTGGGGCAGGAGGAGCAGAAGGCAGAGGAGAGAGCAGACAGGAGTACTTCAGGACTGGCCAGGCTGGGGACAAAGGCCCCTGCCTCCCTCTACTATGGAGTGACCTGCCCAGATCGCCTTTATAGCTGGGGCACCACCCCAATGCCCAGCTGCAGGGAGTGTAGACTGCTGCAGCTCACTGACCCCCTTCTCCCGAGAACTGCCCTCCACAAATGTGGGCCACCTCACCTGAGCAGTACAGTCCCCTCCACGAAGGCCCACAGCCAGTGACTGGTTGTACAGAAAGCCTGGTCCCCCTTGTATGGGGGAGGGGGATGGTAAATCTGTGGCGTGAATTATGTTCCAGGGCCCCCTGGGCCAACCCAAGGCTGGGCCAACCTCACTGGGCTGTCATTCCTGCCCCAGTCTCTTCTCCTCCCCCCTTCTCCTGAGACCTACTCTCAATAAATCTCATGTGCACAAACCCTGGTCTCAGGCTCTGCTTGGAGAGATTCTGAGTAACAACATTCCCTTGCAGCTCCTTCCCAACCTGAAGGAAACAGGGATATCTTGAACTCCCTGGGGAGGGAAGCAGGAAGGGGAAGAGAACAAGGATTTACTGAGCACCCGCTAGGTGCCAGTGTGCTCCATACATCAATTCAGGCAGTTCTCACAGCACCCCTGCCGGGGGAGGTTCATTATCAGAGGAGGAAACTGAAGCTCAGAGAGGCACAGGGATTTGTCCTAGGACACACAGCACATCCATGTGTTTCTAAAAACTGGCCTCAAGCTGTCCAACCTGGGCAGACTTTGTCTATAATGATGATTTGTTATTTGCCTCCCCCAGTTGGGGAGGGGGTCTCCGTTCTCCTGTGAGCACAACCCTAAACTTTCTTTGGAATACACCCTCCCCTCATTCCTGGTCACATGGTTGGGGAAAGGCCAACTCTGGCTCCCAGCCTGTCAGTGGACCCAGTTAAATCTTCAGAGGGATCCAAATCCCGCCAATGGGGCCCAAGAGATCAACTCTTCAACTTTTATTTGTTCTATCAAGAAAGCAGATTTTGTCTCCATCCCTAACCCCAGATTTAAACCTGGAAGCATGTTGCCCCAGAAACTGCTGCCACACAACTTTTGCCCATATCATGCCCAATGACACTAGGAGGGGAGCCATCACTGAGGAAGAGGAATGGAGGAATAGAGACAGAAACCAGGCCCAGCTGCATTGTTTGAGCCACTAGATAGAACCCTGCCTGAAGTCCATCCTACCTCTGCACGCTTTGGTTACATGAGCTGATAATTTCATTTCACTGAAATAGGGTTTTTGGGGGGGGTTTTCGGCCACTTAAAACCAAAGGGATCCTTACAGATACTATGTTCAGAAAGGTATCCTTCCTGTTCCAGGGTGCAGGAAGGCTCAGGTATCCCTGGAATCCAAGGAATGTGTAGAGCGGGGTTGCCACCTACCGTGACTGCTGCTGTGCCCTGCTGAGTCCCGAAGCTTGAGGAGTCTCCTCAGCCCAGATTTGGGTGAGGAGTAGGCTTGGGAGCTGGTCTAGGGGCTGGACAGAGTCAGAACCCTGGATATATGGGCAGGAGGCTGTATAGCCCCACAGACTCAAGGCAGCCAGGACATGGCCTCAGGATCCCTAGAAAAGAGGAGAAACAAGAGTGAGCAGCAGGGTTCATATGGGGCACAGAGGGGCATGTGGGCACAGGAGGTAGGGCAGCTGGTGGCCACATCTCAGCAAGGGGGAGATCAAAGTCAGCCAAGTGTGTCTTCGGCTTCCTGACCCTCGCATCTCACCACCCCTCCCCCAGGTACCTCCAGGCTGCAGAAAAACCTGTCAGCAAGGGGGAGATCAAAGTCAGCCAAGTGTGTCTTCGCTTCCTGACCCTCGCATCTCACCACCCCTCCCCCAGGTACCTCCAGGCTGCAGAAAAACCTCTGCAGAAGGTCTTCCCCCGGAAGAGAAGGGGGAGGCCAGAACTAGGTATAGGCTGGAGACAGCCGCAGCAGCTCCAAGTAGATTCAGGCAGCTGCCTTCTTTGACCTCTAGTCTAGACTTCTAAAAAAGTCCTCGAGAGGACAACGTGTAACCCAAGAGGAGGAAGGGTGCTGTTGCAGGCACGGGTAGAAAGCAGCACAGGCCCTCCAAGTGCCCTGGCGTCTAAGGCATCAGGAGACCACTGACTCCACCTTCACACCAGGCTCCGTGGGCCCGTCCCTGGTGGGGGCCACCCCTCCCCGAGCCCAAACTCTTCCCCAGCCTCTCTCCTAAGCCAAGCTGGGACCTTTGGGAGGGAAACAGGATGTGGCTGTTTCAGACTCTGGACACTTCCAGAAGTCCTGGCATTTGGAAATTCACTAAACTCATTAGGCCCGTAATTAGCCCTCTGAGCTAAGGGCTGCTCAGTTACTTCATGGCTCCATGAAAAGGCTTGAGGATAGAGACCCTGGATCACAGCACATTAGGGCTGACTGGATCCCTGGAAACATCTCTAGACCAGCACTGTCCAATAGAACTTTCTGCCATGCTGAAAATGTTCTGTACCTGCACTGTTCAGTATGGTAGCCAACAGTCACATGTGGACACGGTGACTAGGAAATAGACGTTTTATTTTGTTTTAATTAACTTACATTTAAATCTAAATAGCCACATGTGGTTAATGGATACCATACCAGACAACACAGCTCTGAACCAACCCTTGCCCACCTCTTGGCCACAGTACATGGAAAAAACTGAGGTCCATAGGGGAAGGGATTGGCCCAAGGCCACACGGTGGGGATTTAAACCTGGAAGCATGTTGCCCCAGAAACTGCTGCCACACAACTTTTGCCCATATCATGCCCAATGACACTAGGAGGGGAGCCATCACTGAGGAAGAGGAATGGAGGAATAGAGACAGAAACCAGGCCCAGCTGCATTGTTTGAGCCACTAGATAGAACCCTGCCTGAAGTCCATCCTACCTCTGCACGCTTTGGTTACATGAGCTGATAATTTCATTTCACTGAAATAGGGTTTTTGGGGGGGTTTTTTGGCCACTTAAAACCAAAGGGATCCTTACAGATACTATGTTCAGAAAGGTATCCTTCCTGTTCCAGGGTGCAGGAAGGCTCAGGTATCCCTGGAATCCAAGGAATGTGTAGAGCGGGGTTGCCACCTACCGTGACTGCTGCTGTGCCCTGCTGAGTCCCGAAGCTTGAGGAGTCTCCTCAGCCCAGATTTGGGTGAGGAGTAGGCTTGGGAGCTGGTCTAGGGGCTGGACAGAGTCAGAACCCTGGATATATGGGCAGGAGGCTGTATAGCCCCACAGACTCAAGGCAGCCAGGACATGGCCTCAGGATCCCTAGAAAAGAGGAGAAACAAGAGTGAGCAGCAGGGTTCATATGGGGCACAGAGGGGCATGTGGGCACAGGAGGTAGGGCAGCTGGTGGCCACATCTCAGCAAGGGGGAGATCAAAGTCAGCCAAGTGTGTCTTCGGCTTCCTGACCCTCGCATCTCACCACCCCTCCCCCAGGTACCTCCAGGCTGCAGAAAAACCTTAGAGATAACAAAGTGAATCATGGCCCCTCTGCTCCATAGAACATTACGCAGCCATTAAAAATGACAAACAGACTGGTAGCCATGAGGAGCAATGTTTCCCTAACAACACTGAGCAGGAAAACTGAGAACATGCGTGTGGGGCAGGGTGGGCTGCAGCCTTGTGCAGGGCTCTGTGCTCAGCAAGCCCGCTCGCATCTGTTACCCCGCGACCACGATGCAGATTCATACCCATTTTACGGATGATAGAGGTGAGNCTGTTCACTGCAGGGTTATTTTCAATAGCAAGACACTGGAGCCTGCCTAAACATCCCACAACCCCCTCTGCTCCATAGAACATTACGCAGCCATTAAAAATGACAAACAGAGACTGGTAGCCATGAGGAGCAATGTTTCCCTAACAACACTGAGCAGGAAAACTGAGAACATGCGTGTGGGGCAGGGTGTGCTGCAGCCTTGTGCAGGGCTCTGTGCTCAGCAAGCCCGCTCCCATCTGTTACCCCGCGACCACGATGCAGATTCATACCCATTTTACGGATGATAGAGGTGAG